CTACCTTAGTGTGGCGACAGGAGGGCAAGGTCTTTAGGGACACCAACAACATCTGGTTCCAATTCTGCATCTCGCTCCCACTTTAAGTGCCTTGTCATATTCTGCTTGAGAGGACCCTCACCTTCCAATACTGTGTCCAGTTTATGACCTCATGTTTTACGACCCTAGCGACTGTGAACTGTCTTAATTAAATCGCTAACTCATCACGAGCTGTTTAACCGCGGACTAAAGTGTACACTGAAAGCCTTCTATCCTTACTTCCCCACTCGTAATCCAATTTAATTTAATTCTGTTCTGTTGTTTACACAAATGTTATTTCTAAATCTCCACCAAATTTGTTATTAGAGACACATTTACGAATTAGGCTATTCGATTTCGAACTTATCCTTTCAATTGAAGATCATTAACTTTGCATATTATCTGTCAACCAATTAATGAATATTCTAGAGATGAGTAAGATCTGTGAAACCTAGGATTTACCAGAAACCCTAGGTTTTACCAAACATTGCTGGTAAAATTCCGTAAAAATAATTATTCGTGTCATATTTTGGGGTCTTATCAATGGGTGTTAGTAAATGTTAGGATTTACAATAAGTAGGCAACGGAAGGTTAGGTTAGGTTAGATGTCTCATGTTTTTTTATTTCACAATTTTTATATTTCTTTCAATGTTTTCATGTATTATTTTGAATTGTGAAAAACTTTTTTTAAAAATACAACTTAGATAAGTAATGTATATTTATAAAGTTGTAATTTATGGAACTGAAAAAAAAAGCATCGATTACAAGAGTGAGTGTAGAGATGCATTTCGCCGATTCTTCTGTGTCAAATTGACAGTAACTAGTCTTGTCATCCGTTATCGTAACCCTGGAAACCTCCAGGAGAGACCTCTGATGTTAATGTATGCATCGCTGAACACCGTGGGTATTTCCAACGCTCGTCATAATATTGTTTTCTTGTGATTTTAGTGTCATTTATTATTTTAAAATACAACATGTGATATGTAAAATGGCCACATGAATTTTTTATGATTCGTCTACTTTCCTCAAATTAGTAATTCAAAGCCTGTGGTAAGACTTGTGATAATTATTGTAAATTAATATCACTGCTTAGGTCATTATACCCGTTGAGTTAAAATACGAGTTGTTATACTTAACATCAAACGTATGTAACTTCCTGAAATATGTAAAATCCTCTGTGTTTTTGTCGGCTACAGAAGAACGTTCCTTCAGTACGGTAGTTGACATTTCTCGAAGATCCGTCACCACAGAAATTTTCACGAGGCTTTGTTAATTGGCGATAATTTTATCCCACCTTAAAATTTTAGCACAAAAAAATAAATTTTGTGTTAATAATTTTGTGAAATTAGGTGTTTCAGACGTTCGTAAGGGAGACGTACCACTTTATATTTTCTCCTGACTGAATAGATGGTCCAGACTATAAGATTTGGCTCTCCGAAATCCGTTGGAGAGGGAGGGGTGTCGTATTTGCGTAATCCTGGAAAGTTTATGGACGACAAACTTTCTACAAGGCCGCCAATCAGTGGAAATTTTCCTCAAACTCTGTCGCCAATTTCCGCTTGGTTTACGTAACCCGAATTTTGAATCTGTACTATATTTAAGGATGCAAATTCTTGCCTTAGGGAAACGATCCGGGGGCGTGTTCCACGCTGCTTCAACCTCAGCTGCAGTGTCTCCCACTGAACGGACTTCAAAACTCTCGACAGACTAATATTTCTACGAATATTCAACTAATATTTTGGGCCGCGAGCAATTTCGAGAATGCGTGCTCTGGGCTGCGGGACGACGGAACTCTGGGAATTTCAATTAACTTGGAACCACTCACTCTTATTAGATACGAACAGACATCTCACTCGTCTGAGATCCACATGCGTGCACTTTTTTATCCGCGTGATTGCGCCTTGTTCAGAAGCTGATAGTCAGTCAGCTGGCCAGGTGATTCACCACGTTTTGTGGATCCCGAATTTCCATGGCGTGTCCATGTCCTCCATGTAATTAAATTTTACGCTTGGTGTCCGCTGGTGATGCTGTGGCCAATTTGTATTCACTCGGCAGAAAAGGTTTTCAGTAATGACTCCAGGTGGCAGGAT